GGGCTGGATTCGAACCCACCAGCTCAGGTGTATATGGCTGGCACCTTAGCTGGTTGAGCCACAGGTGCCGAGCCTGTTACCTAACCTCTTCAGCTAGGTTTTAGGAAGGCTAAACAGTCAAATGTTTACTTTATGGCACCCTTGAAATTACGCATGATCAAAAAACCATTTTTTTACAAAATCTCATTTCAATTAACATGATAAAAACATGCAAAGATTATCTTTCACATTAATCATTTTCAAATGTAGGAATGCATCCTAAATGGAACTTGAAATGATGTCCTTAATTTGTAAATTAAAATATGTAAATACATTAAATATGCATGTTAAAATAGAAAATTTCATGTTTGAGTATAAATATTATCACAGAAGTAGAATGCTATACTAATTAATGATTGTGAAAACTATTAATTTTATATACATAAAAGTCAAGAACAGTCAAACAAAATAGACTAATATTTATTACTAATAGGATGTATCAACTATATACAGGGAATATATCCTTTTTATTCTATCGAATGCTCATAAAAGTTTTAAGAAAATAGAGTAATGGATTTATAATTCTAGTATTTGTATAAGTATTCATAGTATGAGCATTCATAACATTAAACAAAACACTCTTTCAAGTTATTTATTTCTTTTAGGCCATGGTTTTCCAGAAAAAGTCCTATATTTAGAAATGTAACTTGTCTTGCGACCATGAATGAAAAACAATGTCAACTTTGCCTCAAACTTTACAAAGAGGAAAAACTTCAAAAACTACTTAAAACAATGTCCATCAATAAATCATCTGACATATTATTCTTAAAAAATACTAAGAATGAAAAAAAAAAGAAATCATAAGAAAATGAAATATCACCCCAAAATCTTGCTTATTCAAGTGTTGCAAAAAGAAAGAGCATCCAAAGAAAATGTAGTAATAGATTATACTAAGAAACATTGTCCTTGTACTATATAAACATTTAAATATTATTAACAACTGAATTTTCATATAAAATATTAGTTCACTATTTTATATGAGAAAACACATTTAGGGAGTTAGCACGTTTCTAATGGCTACTTAACAAATAAAAAGCAAGCCTTGAGTATCTCACTCATAAAAATCTGCTTCATATATTTCCTGGCCATTTACTACATGAATAAAAAGCTTCTGTGGCAAATTCACATACACATACTGTCTACTTGCCTATCTTTCCAAAAGTAGTGGGGATAAATGTGAAGTCAGAAATAATCAAGACTGCACAAAAGCTATATGCCTTCTAGGAACAAGGAAGACACAGATTGGCAGATTTGAAATACATGTACAATTCAGTTTCTCCTTTTTTAATATTTCTAAGTAAAATATAAATAGCGTCAAATAATATATGGGAAAACACAGAAAAGAGAAAATAAGAAGGAATCGAACATTTTGTAGTAAAGAAGAGAGGGAAGAACCTGTTTTTACATTGTTCAAATTTACAAGTTGTATGAATGAACAAAATAGATAGGGAAAACATGTTTATATTTTTCCCTCTTATAAGACACTTTAAACTATGTCTTGTTCAGCTACTCCTGGCAGATGTATCATAAAATTAATTCACATTTCTTGGACAAAACCAAAATTAAAAACTCCCCCAAATCAGGAAAATTACTAAAAGATAAAGTACAAATACTAACTTTTCACTCAACCTCCTTTTCAAACCTCATTTTAACATTATTTCTCTTAGGTATCTTAAAAAATACTAAAAATAGGCTCTGCACCTGTAGCTCAGAGGCTAGGGCGCCACCCACACACACCAGAGCTGGTTCATTTGAATTCAGCCCGGGGCCTGCCAAACAATGACAACTACAACCAAAAAAAAAAAAAAAATAGCCGGGTGTTGTAGCTGTATAGTCCCAGTGACTTGGGAGGCTGAGGCAAGAGAATCACTTAAGCCCAAGAGTTGAAGGTTGCTGTGAGCTGTGACGCCACACCACTCTACCAAGCAAGGGTGACATAGTGAGACTCTGTCTCAAAAAAAAAAATTACTAAAAATAATCTCTAGGAAATTCTATCTATCCTGTTCTTCAAATAATGCTAGCCACTTAAACCAAAAAGAATTCAATCATCCAAAGGTCATTAACACGCTTACATTTCCATTATTATATCTATATAGTGACTTACCAATTCTTGGGGTAGCAGTATTGTTCTGTTCTGCAGCAGACGAACTACTAAATGCAGAAATTGGTATTTTCATCTGTATAGGGCCTCGATTATTTGGTGGGCTATAGAGTCCTGAAGGGCCTACTGTGGGTAAAGAAGTCCTTGTGGCTTGTACAATAGAGTGTGCTGTGGGAACAGCCTGTACAGCAAGTGTTGTTCCCAATGGTGCAGCACTAGCAGGAGGGTTCCTCTGAATACTAGGACTGGGCACAGAAGGAACATTGTTTGGTTTAGGGGGATTTGGCAAGGATGGCAAAGACACTGGATTTTTGGTAAGACCACTCACTGCAGGTGGGCTTTGCACAGAAATGAATTCAACGTTGCCAGATGGTTGATTTGTCACCAAAGTCCCTGGATGGCTCTGTAGTAGTTGTGGCTGGGAAGATACCGCAACAGGTACATGCAAAATCACTGGCAAAGGTTGTAAAGAGATGGTAGGTTGGGGATTTCCACTAGGCACCTGAGGAGCAGTAACTACTGTAGCTGTGTTGGGTGCAGGTAGAACTGCTGTCGTTGTCAGAGGACCTGAAGTCACTGGAGTCTGCAATTTAGGCTGACTACTGACAACTGCTGGAGGAGTGACAAGATTGGTTGAAGATGCTACGGAAAGAAAACAGAAGTCTCAATTTAAATGACTATCTCAATTTAATAGCTAAGATAATACATTGTATTAAGTAAAGAAGTCTTTTATAATGTTTTCTAGGTTTAAATTCTGGAAATTCTTAGAATTAAATTTTTAGAAGTATTTTTCTTTGCTATAGTTAGTATATCATGAAAACCACACATGATTTATGGAGGAACTATCTGGGAATCAGTCTCTAAAAATTATAATCTCTTAAGTTACTAATTAAGTAAAAATGTATAGATATTTTTGAACTACACTAAAAACATTATAAATGCCTTACAACACCAGCTACATACAAACTCAAATAGTAAATCTGGAAAGACTCATTACTCATTAATGACTAATAGATAAATGCAGTTACTGTATTTTATCAGAGACTCTGTGAAACTTGTATCTGTGGGTCAAGTTTTACCTAATTCCCTAAAAAAGGAACTTTCAAGGGGAGGTTTTCTCTATTGACACTGTCTGATATGGAAGACAGCAGTGAGTGAAGATGGGAGATAAATTAAGAAATGAGGGAACATATCCAAAAGAGCAGAGAAAATAAAAATGCTCATCACTGGAGGGTTATAGCAATTTTGATTCAACTACTTGTGTTTATTCTTATTGGAAAATTTTTAAAATACAATGCCAAAATGTTTCTCATTGATTTATAGTCTTTCCAAAATCATAGGCACCCTGGAAGAGTAACAATTCTCAAAGTATGGTCCATGAAGATGACTAGGGTTTTCAGGAAATTTGCAAATGTCAACACTATTTTTCTAACAATAATTAAATTATGTTATTTTACTTTTTCAACAAGTAGTCATTTGTATTGATGGAGCAAAAGCACTGATGCACAAAACTTCTGATATCTTACTACAAAAATAAAGGTAGTGTAGTAGTATCAAACTGTCACTGTATTCGTCATGCTTATAGTGAAAGACAAAGTCAGTTTCACTTAAGAATACCCATGACAAAGTAGTAAAAAATCATTTAATTAAATCTCAAACCTTAAGCAAGCGTTCTTAACACTCCATGTAAAGAAATAGGCAATACTTGTAAACTACTATTGCTACATGCTAAAGCAGTAATAGACCCCTGCTTTTCCTTGGTTGACTCAAGGAAATGCGCTTGTGCAACTGAGCTATAAACTAAACTAGCAGCCTTTTTACTTGAAAGAATGACTTACAGATACATTAATTATTCCTATTAGGTATTTTACAGATCTTTTCTTATAAACAAATCAAGTAAGGCAGTCAACTGCAAAAAAAATCCATCAGTATTTATTGGCAGTAATAAAATTCAAGCTTTACAAATAAAAACTAGAACTATAGACAAAACTTATATCTGTCACTGGAAGCATTACAACTTCATAAATCTTTGAAGAGTTTTCTGAGAAGAACTGATAGTACAATTAATGCTACTGAAAGATTTGCATAACTTAGTGACTACTTTTCAACTTATCAGTGAATGATAATAGTGAAAAATCCATCTAAGTCCAAAGTAGATAAGTGGATTTTAATGGAAGAGTCAGAAAGTCCTATTGGTATGGTTTCAGATTCCACTTTGCAACTAGCCTTAAAGAAACTTCTAATTAACGGTGTCAAAGAAGAGTATCTACAAATACCTGTAAGGGCTAGTGCTTTTCATCTATTTGTATGAGGCTGGATTTCTTACATATACTTTAGTCAAATCAACATATTAAAATAGACTGAAAGCAGATGTGGGTGAGAATCCAGCTATTTTAGCATTTTAATTAATGTCTTAAGCAAAATATTAAAGTGATTTATGAAAATTTAAGTTTATATTTATGAAAATATAAACATTCTTTTCACTGATATTTTTAAGCTTGGAAAATATATTTTTCATTAAAAAATATCTATTTTGGGGGCTGGGCCAGGTGCCTCACACCTATAATCCTGGCATTCTGGGAGGCTGGGCCAGGTGGATTGCCTGAATTCACAAGTTTGAGACCAGTCTGAGCAAAAGTGAGACCCCATCTCTAAAAATAACCAGACATTGTGGTGTGCGCCTATAGTCTCACCTACTCAGGAGGCTGAGGCAAGAGAATCGCTTGAGCCCAAGAGTTTGAGGTTGCTGTGAACTATGATGACTTGACACTCTACTGAGGGTGACAAAATAAAATTCTGTCTCAAAAAATCTATTTTTGGTTAGATATTATGGTTTTATTATTATTTTCAAATAATAAACATTTTAAAAATTCATTTTACCTTCTATTTAATTTCTATTTCATTTCACTCATAGTAAATATCAATTGATATATATAATCCATGTTGAAAAAAAGCTCTGTGGGGTTCTTAATAATTTTTAAGACTGTAAAGGAATATAGAGAGAAGTTTGACAAATACTATGATAGAGATTTAAGTATCTATGTTATATTTTCATACAAACTTATCTGTGACCCTGAACTTTTTAAGAGACAAGAGTCTCACTGTGTTGTCCAAGCTGTATTTGAGTTCCTAGGCTCAAGCAATCCTCCTACCTCAGCCTCCTGAGTAGCTGGGATGCAGTACACACCACCCTGCCTGGCTTGATTCTCAATTTTTAATACAATTTTGTACTTAGACAAATATGCTCTATTTTTAAACCAACCCATTTTAACCACAAAAGAATGGAAGAAAAGAGAACCAAAGCTTTCAATATTTAAGAAAATGTATTTTATTGTTAAAAAAAAAAATAGTTACCTGTATTCATAGGAGTTTGAAAGGATGGTGGTGCACTCTCACTTACATTTCTTTTGGACTCCAGCATCTGTCTTACTGTGGTTACATTTCTATAAAATATACATAAACAAAAATAGTTAATGGATACGCCTCCCTTGGGGACGATAACTGATGTATAGAGAAAGCGGTAGCACAAAGGAAAACAGGGGTGGCTAGACTTGGATTTTGCAACCATAAACTGCAAACAAATTCACTAAGGCATAGTTGGCACACAGAATACTTTCTTTCTTTCTTTTTTTTTTTTTTTGAGACAGAGTCTTACTATGTCACCCTCAGTAGAGTGCAGTGACATCACAGCTCACAGCAACCTCAAACTCTTAGGCTTAAGCTATTCTCTTGCCTCAGGCTCCCAAGTAGCTGGGACTACAGGTGCCTGCCACAACACCCATTTTTGTTGTTGTTGCAGTTGTCATTGTTGTTTAGCTGGCCCAAGCCATGTTCGAACCTGCCAGCTTTGGTGTATGTGGCCAGCACCGTAACCACTGTGCTACGGGTACCAAGCCTCACAAAGACTTCTAAATCCTGAAGTCTACAGCTTTAGGGAGGAGCCTTCTTCTTGTATTCTAATGTTAATACTTTTCTTGAAGATCAAACTTGTATTGTAATATTAATACTTTTCTTGAAGACCAAACTCATGTCCTAATATACACAGATATTGATTTTTCTCACCCATAACAGAAAACTTTCTCAATTAGTTGAGAGAGTACCATTTACAACATGGGGTTAAACAGCTATGTAATGGCCAAATGTATTACCTTATAATAAAGTAACAAAAATAATATCCACAGATGAACAATATAACAAAGCAGAATGTGGATATATACTTAATCAAGTATATCAAACATTATCTCAACATAAATACATATTACATTCTAAGATTCGTCTATAAAATAAAAAAAAAAAAAAACCAGAACCCCATTCTGTTAGTTAAAAACCATATAAACTATAATTCTCACCTATAGGGCACAGTATTATTGCTGTTCACATCATTTACAGACTTTCCTGGTGATGAAGGTGGATTTGGTTCACTCTAGGAGGAAAAAATATCAAAATAAAAATAAAACTGAACATACAAAGAATCATTAAAAAAGAAAAATAAGATCATTAAATGCTTTGTCAATATGTAATCTGTTACTTCTGTAATATAATAGCAAACATAGTACTAGTTGAGACATGAACTTGAATCCTGGCATCACCACTGGTTAGTTGTATCTCAAGCAAATAATTTACTTTCTTGAAAACAACTGCTTATCATTTGAAAGTTGAATTAATTCTCATATCTCAGTGTTCTTGTAAAGATTAAAGAAGAATGTGAAAGTGGCTAACATGGTGTAATAGCTCAATAAACATCAACAATATAAATCTAAAGAATAACTATACTCTCTGATCATTCAATAAATAGCTAGCAAATGCCTACTATACAACAAGCCTAACAGGCAGCATATTAATACCAAAAATCTAACAAATAAGAGAAGTGGTATCCAAGGTCACAAATTAAAATTCTCTATCAAAATAATTTAAGATTTTATTTGAAAAAAATACTACCTGCCACTAGGTGGCTTATATAACTTCAAAAAAAGACATTAAAATTCTAAGCTTCTACAGCTCAGTACCCTCGCTCAGTGAGTAGTG